CTTGTGTCCGTGTGTTTCCTCCTTTTATTTCCACTTCTGGATTCGCAGGTCGAACTAGAGTGCACGTGGTTCAAGATCGTTTTGGTTTTAGTCTTCGAATGAGCGCGCGCACGCATTGATATAGAGGATCGTACGAATCTGAATGACGATTTTGTCTGTGTCGAGATCTCGTCCAGGCTGAGCGTGTGTTAGGAAGTGTCAGGAGCCAGAGGTGCAGCTCATCGTCTGCTTGTGAACTCAATGTGGCAGGCTGCAGTAGCTGAGGGAAGCGATGGGTTGATGTTCAGAAAACAATGCGGCTATTTGCTGCGCGATGCACACTGCCTGGGCCGGAAATGGTTAGCCCAGCGATCTGCGTGATGTATGAGAGGCCCGAACAGCTCCATCGTTTCGAATTCGTGAGCTGATTGCTTGGCACGGCACGGCACGGCATGACGCGTCTGCGCGTCGCGCGTCAAAATGATATAAACACCTGGGCCTCCCACGATCAATCCTCCCAACTCAACTGCTTTCCCCGCACTTCTCGTTCAGTTTTTCGGGTGGCTGCTTCACGCTTCTTTGCTACCTCTGCTACCTCTGCTACTTGGCTGTCCTCGTCATCAGTTTTGTCATTCCTGTGTTCTCATAGGACTCTCCATCTTCTCTTGTTGATTTTGGATTGGGCATGCACTCGTGATCAGGTTTCCAAGCGACGGAAGTGCAGTGTGTAACTTCGAAGTGTGTGCCAAGTGTTTCGATTCTTCCTTGTTATTCGTTCTTATCGTGTTACGACTTCTTTTCTTTCGAGTCAGGGCTGCTCATTCTCGACACAAAGCCCGGGTGGGGGGGTTCCTCGATCTCATCGAGGGGTCTCTGCTTTACCTAATTCTTTGGCACGAACGTCGCAACTATGGTGCAAGAAAGGTCTTGGAAATTGGATAGGAATGCAGTCCTGATCCATGCGCCAGACTCGAACAACGTTGGCTGTCTAGCTCATGTGACTGTCAGTTTTGACCAGACACGAAACCAAGGTCTCATCACCATCAAAACCAAACTCAAACTTGCTGGGCTCAATGACAGATATCAGACTATCTACCTGAACATTGTTCCTGGAGCCATCGATACGTTTTCAGTGACCAAGTCCAGCTTCGACAATATGCTCCCGAAAGAGTTGTCCAATATGCTGCGCGGAGTGAAATCAGCACGTGCCGCCACCACGTTGTCGTTAGGGCTCAAAAAACCTAGTCGTGTTCTCGTTCCACTTGGACTGACTGAGTCCATCCGCCCTGCTGACCCGAGCGATGGTATATTCCATGCTGTCTCTCAGATCAGCCAGGCAACGCGCATTCGTCTTCATTACTGCAAGCAGGATATCTCAGATAGCGACCATCTTTGGCTCCAAACATTTGCCTCTGCATTAACCAACAATGCGTTAGAACCCTTGCGTATAGAATACATTCACTTGAATGGAGGAATGGGCGCACAGGAAACAGGACCCGCTGTATTCAACCAGTTGCCCTCACTACCCACCTACAACCAAGTCATCTTGCCTGAGGCCACTCTTGGAAAGCGTTCCCGAGGTTATGGTGCGACCCCTGATTCAGAGTCACATTCTCCTTGCTCCCCCCAACCATTGTGGTCCCCCACTGAAGTCTGCTCTTCCTTCGAAGTGGATATGCCTACTGAGGTAGATGACCCTGATGGTGCTAGCAGTCACCCGGTAATCAAAACGCCTCTTGAGGTTAGACGATCTACCCAAGACGTGGCCCACTTCGGAAGCGACGTTCACGACACACAATCAACGTCAACCATGTGCTCACCGGCTATGCCCGCCAAGAGTCGTCACTCCCGGGAAATGTCGCCCTCATACATCGTACCGACGGTCTTTCGCAGAGGGCGCTCCGAACCCGAACCCATCGCCGAACCTCCCCCATACCAGAAAAAACGACCAAAACTCGACTTATCTTTGAGAGACATGCCTAGCAATGATGGCAATGCTCTGGTCGATGAAAATACCGTTCGTGAGATCATACAAGATGTTGTAGACAAGGAGAAGCAGGCAATACTGGAAGAGCATCAAGAGATGTGTGATGAGGCTGAGATTCGGGTCGCTGAAGCAGTCGATGATGGTAGACTGGAAATCGTCGGCAAGACAGACGAGTGCTGCAACGAGATTGATGAATATGGTCAGAAGGTTCATGAAGCGTGTGCGGATTCTTGCGAGACTCTACAGGCCGATGTGGCATGCTTGGATCAAGCATCGATGCTGATGGAGAAGGCTGCCGCCAGAATCTCGAGCGTTTCTAACCCACTGGCTCTAGCTTGTGGGCGGCTCGACTGTCATCCATCTACGCTGGCGGCACAAATCATCACAGACGATTTTGCACATCTCCCCACCTCCATCAAGGTAATTATGCTAACAAGAGTTGCAGATCCAGGTTTCGCAAACGTCTTTATAGCGGTTAATCATGAGCTACGGAAAGAATTGGTTACCGCCTGGACTAAGCGCAGGACAGGACAATAGAGTTGTCTTGAGACATATATGCGACGACGAAGTCGTACTGCTGTGCAGGGATGTCTCATTCGAGATGAACACTGATCCTGCCGCTTTGACTGAGGATATACTCAATAGATAGCAATAATTGTCGAGTGATGCTATAAAATCTATGAACAAGATATTTGGACGCACGGGTATTATTGTCAATCCGGCCTCGATCCTGAATAATAATGAGTGACCTGATATCTATTATTGTCTGATTGCGGAGATCTCAAAATGCTGCGCGTCGAGTCGCGACCTGTAGGCCTATCTATTTCTGGTGGCGAGCCCGTCAAAGGTAAATTCTGATTGGGAGAAGCGCGCGTAAGCCGAGTCGGCCAAGTTGTGTTCCTCTTACGTTCTTCCACCATCTTGTGTTGCATTTCTACAATCCTTGCGCACCAGTCATCATTATCTTTGAACAATTTCTTGCTCGCTCTGCTCGAAAGCTTTGCGCAGCTTGTTCCATACTGCTTTATCCGAGTGATGAATTATTGTCATGATGATGCAGACTAAACGTATATGGAGCTTACGCAAATCTTCGTCCTAACCCGTCTGATAAGTCGCGATTCATGCTGGTAAGGTCCGAGGTAGCCAAGAAAAGACAGTGACCTTGGAGATGATGTGTTCCTGCATGTGTGCATCCATTTGGAGAACCTTATTTGGACCTGATGCTTGCTGGACATATAACCCTGACCCATATTCAAATATCATTCCTCAATCCATCAAGACTTATAACTGTTCAAAATTGCGACAGAACGGCCGCCAAACCAGAATTAGCAAATTTCAGAGCTCGACCGTCGCATTTCCAGTCATCTAAGCCTATCCTCGATACAAAGCCGGTCTTGCCTGTGGCTTAGGTCTTCACATTTCTCTCAAGTTTATGAATAAATCGCACCTTCCTCTCAATCATTGAACAGAGTCTGCTACACGCCAAGTGACTTCGGACATCTCGATTTGTAAAAGCTCAGCTCTTTTGATTGTCTAAGCAGCCATAATATCTAGCTAATTGATCGCAATTGTTCGGGAGCTGTCCATACGTATCGCACATGGAACAGCGTTCGTCGTTTCACTTAGGTCAGCATCGGGCTGCTGAGCTTGTAAAAGGCCTGGGCATTACCTGAACTACCTACAGAGGAATACTCTAGGTTCTCTTCTTTCTAACCAGATGATTACAAGTCCTGTCACTTCTTAGGCAATCCGCCGACCTTAGTTTGATAAGCCAAGAGCTGAACGAGGCTGGAACTGATAATAAGGTATTTCTGTTTCAACTTCTGGATCACAAGGAAATGACAACGATCTGGATGTCTGACACATGATGTTATACAAGCATCACATCAAACAAAATGTTGTTATAATGGTCGGGTCTTGTGTAGAGGTGAGCAGTGAGTACAGCTAGTCAGATCCAGCAATCGTGACTTATAGAACATTTGAGTATAGATGCTATAGAAAGAGCCTCTAGCCAACGTAGCATTGATATCACATCTGGCGGGGTTTAGGTAGTCAAGAGATACCGTGGCATGATCATCTAGCTTTTCCTCATCCTCATATTGAAAACCATAAATAACGACCGGGATATCTAACCTGCCCGATCTAGCTTTTTGACCTGTAATTACAAGCTATACGGTTAACCTTACTCTCTATATTCTGTGCTAAGCTGGTAAACTCCGTGTCAGACAAGTATAAGCGGCTAGAAGGGAATCAAGTGCGCTAATATTAAAATCTATATATAAAGCGAGCCTAGAAGTATGCGTTCGAGCGTGCTCGCTAGTGGAACTCCGATTGAAATGGTCTATAAGAAAGCCAAAGCCACAAGCGATCCATCTAGGCTGTGGTTATTGGAGGCTAGGATCTATGCAACCAGCCAAACCAACCACTACTAGCACTAGATACCTCTCGGGTTTCATCAAAATCCTCTCGTGATTCTTCAGAATCTTTCGATGATTTATCAGAACAATCTGACGAGTTATCAGAACAATCTGATAAACCATCAGAAGATTCTGATAAACCAGTAGATCGTTCCAGCGCTCCATCAGGTCGTTCTAGTGTTTCATTAGAGTCTTCGGACGAGATTGACTCGTTGTCAAGATCAATGCCTTGTGACTCAAGAGGTTCAGCAAAAGTGGCCTTTCTAGCAGCATTGCCTTTGTCGGTTTGATCACCCATTCCGTTGGTCACTGTGCCCTTGTTCTGTGGAGCGCTAGTACTGAGATGGTTGCGTCGCGTCCGTTTCAATTTCTTGTTTGTGACTTGCCGACTCGACTGTTCTCTTTCGCGGATATTCTTGTAAAGAGTCACACATTCTTCAAAAGAGTTGCAAATATAGGTTCGACGTTCAAACTCCGTCCCGTCTCGTCTCCAGGAGACCACAAGTAAATACTCGTGCATAGATACTGGGTTGAAAATCTACATAGAGCGTACCGTTAGCCTTTACTCTTGTTCTTTGGGTCACATGAGGTCCGTTGACCTTGGAACTAAGCGGCCACGACAAGATCACTTGTGTTTCTGTCAAGAAAAGTAAAAACACCTCAAGATTGAGGTAAGAGTCAAGGAAAATGTGTTTACTTACCTGGAGATAACAGACTTCAACAGGATGATCAGACTTTCGTAGGAACTCTAGCTTAGAACTGTAGGAATCCAATATGTTGTGCGAGTCGAGGATAATGGTTCGTCCGTCAACAACGACCGAGTGCTTCAATTGCTCAGGGATCGATCGAGTATGAATGCTCTTTGATCTGGCTAGCAGCGCATGCTGGGCTGGCAGTTCGAATGCTGTCCACTGTTTGTCTCGACTGCGTGGAACTCGATCTTGCCCCAAGGTTTTGCTGGTCTCATCAGGATATTCTCTTGATCCATCCAAGTTCTTACTCCCCAAGTTCTTGTTTTGTAACTTGCGAGGGATAGCATTAGAGTCTTCAGTCTGAGAAATGTCCTCTTCAAGGAACTTCGTGTTTTGTGACTTTTGAGGGTTTCGCAAGGCAAGTTCGCCGCCTTCCCAAGTTTGATCAACGATCTTGTTGGTATTTGTGCTCTTGGTCGACGGAGGATCGGTGTTAGGATGACTGTGTCCTTCCCATTCAGAATGCTCGGTGTCACAATCCATATCTATGTAATCCTTGTTCCTGTCTAATCCAGCTGGCAGTGAATCCTTGGCTAGTAATCCGGTCACTTTCGACAGTCGGTTCTGACTGTATGGTTCTCGATCTTGTTCCGAGAATTCACTGGTATCATCAGAAGAATTCCTTGATTCATCAGAGCCTCCAATCTGCGAGCGGTCATCCTCGCTGAGGTTTGTGCATTCTGACCCAGAGCATTCACAAAAGGTGACCTTGTCTGAGCCTCTACTGGTCTGATCATGGGTTCTCTTGATGGTTGTGCTCTTGATACCGTCATAAACGCTGTCTCCTTTGGATCTGGGCTTCTTGTCTTCAAATTGCCGTTCTAGGCCGGGGTTGTTCTTAAGAATCTCCTCGAAATGAATTTCACATTCTCGCAAAGAGTCATAGAAATAGCCTGTGCCTTTTAAATCCGTCTGATCGCGCCCAAAACAGTTCATAAGCAAATTTGACTTCATACGATCGGGCTTTAAAATCTGCGTGCCGCGCACGATTAGCTATTGCTCTTTCGATCCGGTCACATATGTTTTCTTAGGTCTTGACTAGCTGACCATGATGTGACGACTTTGCGTTCGACAAGAAAGGCACAGACGCCCTCAACTAAGGTACGCGCCGGAAAAGAGACTGTGTTCACTTACCTGGAGATGATGGAACTCATCACTATCATCAGTCGGTCGTCTGCGCTCTAGCCTGGCATCGAACGGGATTCTTGCGATCGAGTCATATGATATGTCATCCGATCCGAGGATGATGGAGCAATTGCCAACTTTGATCCGGTAACCCGACTGCCTAGACCCTCGGTAAATATAAATGAGTTCCGATCTCGCTGATGCAGCACACCCATGCGGTAATTCGACTGCTGTCGGCCATCTGCTTTGACTGTGGTAGATTGCACTTTTCGTGCAGGTTAGATATCCCACAAGGTTATGAGCATTTGCTCTATTCCTCATCTTAGGACGTTCAACGTGCGCCTCTTTCAGCACGGGGTATTTCCAAACCTTCTTATTTCCTTTTCCATTTCACGAACTGTCATCTCATCCAAATCTTGTAAAAATACAAGACTCTCCGTTCCTCTCTTAAATTTGAAGGAGAAGCTTCTCCACTCAATTGGTCCGGAAGGAGATGGCTCACCGAGTCTGGCTCTCGATGTGGGTGGAGAAGCATTGAGAACCTTCTTCATTCTGCCATCACAAGACTTCTGACTGGTCTGAGGTTGTGTCATCCTAGTAATACAACACTTCTTCTCTATCAGTATGGTTACTTAAGGGGTTTAAGAGCCGAAGATGGTTCTGTAGCCGCGATCGAAGCCTTCTTAGAGGGATGGAACGTGAGATATAAGAGCTTGTAGATGATGACTGTTTTAGACGTTATCACAGAAAGAAGGAATAGGCGACTTTTCCAACCTCAGGTAATATCCTGTGATTGTTAAGGATGGTGGAGCTTATTAAGGATAGTGCAGAACAAGATTACGAGAGGAAACAAACGATAAAACTTCTCTATGAGTTCAAGCTATAGGAAGAGACATGAAAAAACCAAGAGTATTACGAAGTCTATACACACCACAGCCTTAGCAAATTATATGAAGCAGATTGCGACTTGGGCATGCCCTGTTCACATCTCGAGAGCACCCTCAACAACAGGCACAGAGTAGAAATCGTTTCTTGTGACTCTTCTACAGCTTTACGTAGACAGTATACGAAAAGGTAATGGAATGGCTGCTCTGCAACATTAATGCTATCCTAGAAGATATTGCTTCGGCTGGTGCTGAGATGAGGATATTACCTGATAGCACGCAAGTACCATAATTCCTGCGTGCGCTATCCATAACGGTAGTCGGAGCGAGAACACGCGGCATCGTAAATATTCTCAAGAAAGCAGGAGGTTGATAGACCCGCGTTTTGTGGAAGGATAATCTATGGTGTACTCGGCGAGAAACAGTAGCGTGTGGGCGATGGAACCTTCCCATGGGACGCACACACGCTGCTTTTGTGAATCAATACCGAAAGGTCCGGCGATGCGCCCGCCACAATGAAGTAGCCTCTTTTGTCGCCTGATGGCCGTCTTTTGTACCTTGTTGTTCGCAACATGTCCCTCAGCCTCTATCTCCGCGAGCCCAACCGCTCGTTCCGTTCGCGCCGCCGGGATCCCTTGGCCATAGCTCTTACACAGCTCGCCGAATCAGTCTCCGCTGTTAGCGCGCGTCCTCTACGCATTGGGTTGACTCATGATGTGCCGACCGCACTCGACAATCATCCTCGCCCTCCTTCGAGACCCAGCCCTCAATCTCGCTGCGCAGTCTACAAGCTTGACCGATATCTCTCGTTCAGACCTCTCCAGGAATTAGTACGCCATCGCCATCGCCAATCTGCTAAGAGCTCAGGATCTGCGACCTGCCAGGTTGAGGCTGTTCCAAACCCTGCCAGATCGTCCAAATGTTTTCTGCCAGGACCTTAGCGGTATCCGTCCAGACTGCCGGAAGAATAGCAATACTTAACTCTGTCGTTCTGTGTAAATGCATCCAGAAGAGGGACAAGAAGAAGAAGAAGAAGAAGAAGAAGAAGAAGAAGAAGAAGAAGAAGAAGAAGAAGAAGAGAAGGAGGTCGATAGCCTGCTTGAGTTACCACCGTACCACAAGAAGTTTCACTATGAGAAGCTTCTCCACAGGTTGCCGCCGCTCTTCGATACACTACTTCTCACATACGGACAAACTCCTTTTACCGTCGTCGCCCACCTACACACGTGGCAAAGACAGTTTTCTCCTTGCCCAATCCAGCCGAAGCCGGCGGTCGTCTTCGCCTCGAATCCTCTCCTGCCACACCCGCCAGCCTAGCTGGACAATCGCCCGGAATTTGTGCTTTCAAGCTCTATCTGTCCCGACTTCCGCGTAATCTCGAGTGCTATACCCCTACTTTGGAGGTCGCATTACCCATTGTTGGTAGTAGAATAGAGAGATGTCTGTTTATGGTGTCAGGCAACTTCTCATACATCTGGTCTCATGAATCCACATGGTGTTGTTCTTGTGCTCCAGCAACTGACCATTGTCATCCATACATAGCTGTCATTCGTGCCTAAATCCATCTCATTCACCGCTCGCTCTCGTTCTCCGCTCAACCTCTTCTTGTGCGGCCGCCCTGCGTTCTCGTTGCTCAGCCTTTTTCTGACCATTTGCGACCCCGTTCCAAACATGGCGAGTCAAGCTGGGCTGAGCTAATCCAAGCTGCCTGGCATAAAAGACCCTAGCAATGAGCAAGTCGTCAGGGGTCATACGAGGTTCTGCTATCGCAGTTCTCTCCTGGAAGAGTCCTGGAAAGGCGTCCCCTGGGCTTTCGAGATCCTTAAAGCAGCCATTTCAGGAGGGATAGAGACTTGCCCTTTCTCAAAGATAGGTCCGCCGGATACAAGGTTCTCTTATTGAGCCTCTTGACGCAAATGATACGTATTCAAACAGTTCCAGCAGAGCCATTGCCAGAGCAGACGATGCTCCCTCCGAATGCCGTCACTATCTCTTTGCGGCTGGTGAATGTGTGCTTCATTGATATTTGAAAGCTTGTTTAGTCAAAGTTGACAGCTTGTTTAGTCAAAGCCCTATAGTCGAAGCGCTGTCTGAAAGACTTGTGATCACGAGGGTATGTTATATATCATTCAACCCTCCTACTCACACCTACCAGAGCAGAAAGACAGAAAAGATAATTCATTTATCTAGGAAGCACGCACGAATAACTGAGTTCATAGTATGTGATACAAGCAAACACGCAAACACGCAACCATTCATCCTACACAACCCTCAGACTACGAGTAGTTCTACCGTTTCATCATCATCTTCGAGCCTTCTACAATCTCAAGACTTTCTACGAGGAGTAGGAGCTCGAGTTCGAGCTCGAGTACGAGATTTGGTGGGCGTTGGGGTAACGCTACGGTCGCTATCGGATCCTCCTGACGGCACCTTCACTGATTTCCGAGAGGTGTCCGTCTGGGATAGGTTGTCGTCGACGAGATTCGTGCGTTGGGACTCCGATCTGTCACTAGAGCCGACGTTCCCATCTTCAGCGTCCTGGAGGGAGCTTCCATCCTTAGGCTTTATGTAGCTGTATTTCTTCTTCTTTGGATCCATGCCTCGGTCAACCCAGTCCAGACTGGTTTTCTCTCGAAAAACTTTCCCAAATTTGGCTATAGCATCATCCGGACTCTTGAAACCATAAGATCCGCAGGAGGGATTTGATGTTTTATGGCGTCCCCAATGTGTCCTGACGTAATATAGATCTTCAGTGCCGCTTTTTCTAACCTGAATGTCAGAAGTAGTCAGTCTCTGCTTTAATCCCATTGTGATGAGCCCGGTACAATCGATATCAATCGGCGGAGAACACGATCGGATGATATATATCTTCATCGGAGGGATACACATATGGCTGCCAGTATGAAGAGTGACGGTGATCATGGTGCCCAATTCCCGCAGCCCAGTCGAGTTAGGAGGATGTACAGGAGACAGGATTGGAGTGTGAGCATGGGAAAAATGTTTTGCTTACCTGAAGACGGTAAAACTTGTTGCTCGTATCATCCTCATATCTCAGATAGGCATAATACGGGCCACGAGTTTCCGGAACTCTATGCAACTCCTCTGAGGCAGACGGAACCTTACACTTTTCACAATGATAGTGTGGCTGAGAAAGAGCAGGTTGAGCCTCAGGATTGGGGCTCGGCGACATTGTGCGTACCAATGGCTGTGCAGTCGTCTTTTCTAGCCGCTTGGTTCGACCGTCCGGGCGTTCACCCATGTCTGCCTCTTGTTTCAAGGCTTCCTCAGTCCCAGGAGGTATGTTTTCTTTGTTCTCATCGTCAGCGGCTTTCAGTGCTGTCACAAATGGCTTCCTCGCGCGTTGGTTCTCAATTTTGAGACCGCGCTCAGAAGCCATCTTCTTGAGCTGTGTCAGTGTAAGGTCTTCATAGGTGATCATATCTTGCTTGGGTTTATCATCATCCTTGTGTTCTGACTGGGAGTACCTTCCCTTGCAATTTGCAGCGGTTTTCCCGAGAATGTTTGATCACGAATCATATCAAGATCAGCATGATATAGATGTCGCACCGGAGCTGGTCCAAAACCCCGAGTCATCGCTCGTTTGGCGGAGCAAAAATACCGAGACGAAACGTCGGGATCGCCAGCTGTTTGTCGACACAGTCAAAAACCTTTGCAATACATATGGAGACATTTGTGAGACTTTCTATCGTGTTCTCACGTCGAAAGATGAAATTAGACGCTATTGGTGGTTCTTAGCGGTTAGTAACCAGAAATTGCACCAAGCTATGGTCAAGGTAAAATGGTTAGTGCATGAAGCGGAGTTCGCGAATGAGAACCTTTCGAATGAATGGCAACTATTTCAAATGGTAAATCCTGGTCATTAGTGTAAAATTGTTTGTATCGAGTGCGGATCAGGACGGTCTGGTCAATTTGGTAATTCCAAGCTATTCATGTCTGATCATTTGGGAACTGTCCTAGATATCACTTCGTCAGTACGCTTGCTGCTTTGGAAGACCATACTCGACATCCGATCAGCGACGCTTTTGAGCTTCGAAAATAATTTCTTACATCGGTTTCCGTGCGCTTGAAATTTGACAGAATGCCCGAAGAATGATTCAGCGACGAGAAAGAAAGCGCCGATTAGACCCAAGGGCAGACCTGATAGTCATACTAATTCAATCAGAACCATTCCGAAAGATGTGAGAATGAATGGCCACAAGCACATCTCGGAAGGGCTTACTAAACTGCAATCTAGGAGTGAGAGCGCTTGGAGTCTAGAGATGAGAGCGTGTAAATTGTTGGTCATCATTGGTTGCATTCTTCAATCCAAAATCTTATAGTGTTCCAAATAAGTTGATTTCAACATTTCCATTCAGCTCAGATGTTTTCTAGATGCAAACTGTACGTGTGTATCAGCGTGATAGGGAGATGGAAGCAGAAGAAGTATACATCGGTTCATTACTGAATCTTCATATGGTAGTTTTACGTATCTCGAGAGACAGCGACACGTTAGAACAAGTGTTTGAGTCTTGAGACATCATCAGCATCTCGTATCACGTTGTAGATGGAAGCATAGCGTAAACACGCATGCCTCTCACAAGATCACTTAGACAAACACGTACGTCCAGTCTATAAAGGGCTCGATCCCATCAACCACCTTGCCTTACATAAACCCGTCTAAGCACTTGTGCTCATCTTAGATTGATCAGATGTTTTCCCACTTGTTTGCAGGTCTTTCCTTGGTAGCGCTTGGCATATCCCAAAGCTCGACTGTCATCCCAGACTCGTCTACCCAGATATTGCCGTCGGATCCTGTTATTCTTTCAACCAAGCCGCTTGTTCCAGGGGGTAACATTTGGTCAGCGCTGGTGGATTCGTGCATCGAGTCATCAGGAATCTCCGGAATAGACTGCGTATCTGATGCCCTCTCTGACCTTTTAGTAATTGCGGCCACCAAAGACGGCTATGGAAACAATACCATGGACATCAAGAACGGCACCTCGGCCGGAAAGCGGAGTCTCACTGGTGCAGAAAGATCTGGTCTCACACTCAGAAGCACTTCAGAAGGATCCAAAACCATGCAGGGCTCGACGACCTCAACCTACAGTTCGAGGTCGACCCTGTTTGAACATATCTCGAATGGTACCCACGGGACTGTGCGAGCGGTAGCCAGTCTTGATGGCAGCAATGACTCGTCGGGTGAAACTCGTCGTTACCGAAGGAATACCTTCTCGTATGGAGACAAAGTCCAGGGATTGAAGCTATCATATAGTGCGAATTGTGGATTCGTTCGCTTCAATGATCAGGCTTTGCAGAAACTGCGTGATCTTATCGGCACTTTCGTGCACTCAGCATCAACCAACACGCATTCGGACAAGTATGCACTAGAGATATTTAACATAGGAAACAACGTCAACAACCATATGTTAGCTACGCTGGTCGCCGAAGCAGATGTCTACGGAAGCGAGTACGAAGAATACCAACCAGCACCACTGTATCCGTTAGGGGCCCAGTGCTAGCTTCTCGTGGTTCTGATTGAGAGAATCATATACAAAGTGCCGGCTTGCCATCAGCTTCCTATATAGAATCGGTTCTGACCATCTCCTGATCTGTCATATTTGTAGTGCTAAGAGAAAGCCATATCTATGCTTCACTCTTCTGAATTGAAAATCCAGATCGCTTGTATCACGTTTCCACATCGCACGATCATATCATGTTCTGCAAGAGCTCAATTGTTTCACAACAACAATTCTAAGTGCCATTGAGTCGAAATTCGAAGCCGTTCAAAGAATCAATCCTAATGCTAGTGCTCCATACTCAACTGATCATTGAATTACATGGTCTTTCCACGTCTATAAGAGAAAAGATCACATCCAGCTCGAAGCTCGGCACAGCGGAGGTCAGGCTACGGCTGTTGTCATACTGTGCTCTCCTCTTTACCATTGCTCTCTGGAGGCTACATGCACCTACAGAAACAAAGTCATCTCTGAGATGGTCCTGACATTTCTTCTTGTGTCGGACACTACATGTGAGCTTTTCGCAAGAAAACCAGTTGGACTCAATCTATCGCGTCCAGAGGTCTGATTGAGAATGTAAGTTGTTACATCCTCACGACCATCTCGCGAAAAACAAGGGTTCGCGATATGTGCAATCGAATATCGGTAACACGCCTCCATGCAGGTCCCCGCGACTTGTCGAAAGCGCTTGCAGTGGCAGTGACCATGCTGTTGTGTAACAGACGGTAACAGAAATCGACTTCTTTGTTCGCTCAGAATGCCAAGTCGCTGACAAACGAGGTAGAGTATCTTGGAGGAATTCTGCTCGCCTATCCTGCACCTCATAGCCAGATACCACAGCCCAACTTCACAGAAGACTCAAACACGAATGTGAGCCTCGTGTGTCAGATGATAACGACTTAGAAACCGCTGACAATGTTACAGTGTTCACAAGCCAGCTTTGACACTCATCAACAAGACTCAGCCCTCTCTGGATTGTCAGGTGACTTTGAGCAAAACCGAAGGCGGTTCCATCTGGATATCAATCCCGAGCTTGCTGTTAGCGAGCTTCAAGGCGGCTCAATGAACTCATGCGTTGACCATGCAGAAGATGTCTCGACCCTTGCCCCAGATTGGAACGATAAGGCTGTGGATATGATTGGGAATGCTGGTCCTATATACTCACCCTATCACGACCAGTCATCATTGTCGAGCCACGATGAAGGTCACCACAACTTGGGCTTGCCGTGGTCTGAACAGCCTCCTGTATTCTCTTGCAACATCTTGCCACAACATCGCTCGGTGTGTGGGCCGCACTCTCAGTGTGCGCCACCTCAGCCACTCTTTGGTGTCACCAACTATGCCGCACGCACACCCTTCCAACTACACTCTGAAAGGTTGTTTACTCCACTACAAAATCAGGACATGTTTGACATGGCGATACCTTGCCCTGTTACAGACACAGTGTCGTCGTTGTAGCAGAGCAACACGACCAACTTTGTAATATCCAGATCAGACGGACCGGTTAAGCCTGACCATATCTGGAACACTGCACTAGATGCTTGTGGTCTGGTGACCCCAAACTTTGGATATCTTTCCACTCAATCTACGCATGGAGATATACGTGACCTTGCTCCTGCCTCCAGGACCAACCATTTCGGACCTCCGTCGGGTCTGGCTAAGCAATCAGTTGAACGTATATCAAACCTCGATCGCGATGCCAGGAATGAGTATTTGCGAGAAGCTCGTCGACATGGTCTGTCCTACAAGGACACCAAACATCACGGTGACTCTACTGAAGCCGAGTCCACTCTGCGTGGCCGTCATCGCATTCTGTCCAAGCCTAAGGAGATGCGTGTCAGAAACCCGCGATGGAATTACCCGCGACTGGGAACTTACCAGAGACAACATCAGGAAATCCCAGAGTTGCCTTTTATCCAGATAATGCATACTTCTGCCTTTACATATACTGCCGCCCGCGGTGCCGCTCAAGTCGTCCTAAGTCTCGAAAAGCAAAGCAGAAAGATCTGGCCCAGCGTCTGAACAGTCTTAGCTGGTTGAAATGCAATCTAGAAGTATCAATAACGTGGAGTCAGGTGCTAAAGATGTTTTGGCAAAGAGCAACATATGAATTCTGGCTATGTGGCGCTTTCGTCTTGCTTCGCTGAGATAAGCAGGAAGAACAAAATAGGCGGCGGTTTGCGGCTTATAGCCGGCTTTTCTGGATTTGAGAAGTCTATGAGAGGCCTGTCGTATTCTTAACAACCCATGCCAATGGAGGCAGAGTGCTAAAGCAAAGTGATGTTTTCACAACTTTCTGTAGCACCATATGGAAAGAAATCTGGCGATTTGTGAAACTGTCTTGTACATGCCGAACAAGCTGCGCAGAATGCACCGTCTTCAAGGAACTAGATCTGGTTGTTTTTGAACCTCGGTCTTTGAGTTTCGCACTGTGCACACAATCCATGTAGAAGTTTTTTGCTGTGTTTGATGCATGATACGACTCTGACGCTCACCTGCTCTCAGGTCAAGCAGGCGCGAACAGCTTACTACCCAGTCAACGCGTTTGAGGCGTGAGGTGATTATCGTCGGGCTAAGCCGAGCATTTGTCAGAGAACACGATACGCAATTATAGACTGTGTCGTGAATAAGGTACCTTAACAACACAAGCAAGGAGATCGTTACAGAACTTGGACTTGGTTTCCTGTTACGTTGCTCTGTGTACATCGCAAATTCACTCTAAGCTTTTTCGTTGACTAGTCTCCTTCTTCCGTTCATCACGGACACATCTCGAAATACACTTTTAGGTGTACCATTGGCCATCGAACCTATTAGCTATAATCTTATGATCATATAGGAAGCTCTGAAGCAATATTTTACCTCACGAGATTCATAAAAAAGAGTGCTCTAAAGATCTGGTAGGGAAAGAGACAGCCAACTTCTTTAGCGCTCAAGTGAGCTTGAAACGCTGGATCTACGCTAACTTGTCTCAATAGGCAAGCTAGCCGAACTCGAGAGCGATTCAAAGGACCCAGCGATTGGAGCATGTCTTGAAGCAAAACCACGAAGGGATCCACCACTGTGGCCTCCTTTTCTCCTCAGACGAAGCTAGCAGATCGGAAGTACGACAACCATGACAAAGCACTCCTTGCCGCACTCGCAGCCTTACAAGATGAGGGACTCTTTGACGAGCGAGCATCTTTTTTACATGAGCCGTAAGATCCTCCCACACTTGATAACCACCAAAGTTCCTCATCGTGGGCTGGTACAACGATCTGACAGAATCTCCTCTGCGCTTCAGTTCTGACATATATAGCTTTAGTAGCTGTGTTTCCCAATTACGCCATTTCGCTCTATCCAACAGTCTTTACTTTTCTCTCGAAAGCACTCCATTTACGCCAGGTTCCTGTGGAATCGGTAGACAATCTCTAACGGTGTCTCTACCATCACTCGAGCACCCTTGCATACTCTTTGCCAGTCAATCTCGGCACCTCACTCTCTTTACTTCTATATCTAACCACAAAGAAAACATTAGACAAAATGCAGTTCTCCATCTCCACCATTACGAGCGTTCTTGCTGCTACTGCAGCTGCTCTCCCTACTGAGAAAGTCCATCCCAAGAGAGGTACCATCTCTGTTACTCCTCACGTTGAGTACAGCTCCAGTGTTAGCGTCCTCGGATGCAAGACCAACACCAATAGAGTCGCCTACTGGCCTAGTACGTCATGATGGTGGTGTTGATGTAGCTGAGGGACCGTGGACGCTGCCACGGAAGTCGCAGACAGGGCCCAAGACTTGTCAGGGCCTTCAAACAGGCGACTCAGATGCTGCCAAGAAAGTGTTCGATATTGGTCCCAGTAAATCACGGGGACCTGAGAGGATGTGATTGGTGCACTCCACCCTCAGAGGACCGATGAATTTTCCAGCGACATGTGGTTGCTATCGCTCCCAGGAAGCGGTAGGAATGGTTGCCACCACAGATACGAGAAGAGATGGACTCCAAGAGCACGCTGGGCAGCAATCGTTAAGCGGACCTGCACTGACCAGAGTTGTAGCAAGGCATCAGCATCTTTGCTTGAGACTCCTGCTGCAGTGCCGAGTTAGAAACAACAAGGATTGTATGAGCAGCAAGAGCAGATTGTGTGTTCGTGAGGTCGATCACCGCTATACGATGTGACTGTTGAATAAACGCATTGGTGACGTCGAGCCGTACCTCATGGTTTCTCTGGAAGCCCATCGCTCTGGACTTGGTAGCGTCGAGTATGAGGTAGACGAACACCCCTTTCTCATCGGAATGCACACCATAGTTCGGCTCATCGATTGACAGAAGCGGAAAATGACAGCACGCGACACTTCTCTCATAGGCGGTGGGGAGAATCTCGGTGAATCGGTCGCGAAGGATTGCTTCTACCTCGCTTCCAGCTTATATATGCGGGTGGATGTTCGTCAGCCATGCGTTAGCTACGCGTCCATAGCGCATTGTCCGGTAAACACTCTCAAGAGCAACTCTCACAGCGACCAGGTCAGACACGCTGTCAGCTAGCGAGATTCGGCTAATACTTATCTCTAGCTGGATTTTGACAACCATGTCGCGCCTCGAGCGTAGGTTCCTCATCTTACCGCTCTCAACACTGAGTTTTGGATTTATTCTGGTTCTTCATGTCTGCATGTAGTGCAGTGCATGAAAGGAGTTGAAGTATGGAACGTCCCGTCTCGCGATACCCAGAATACATGGCCACTTTTATCCCGCACGGCAAGCTTTTGGTGGTCTTGATGTTGGTTATTTGCGGCGAGCTGTACATTTTCGAAAGCAATATGTTGATATAATGCGTTCTTGGTGTAGCTTTTCTAGCCTTTTTAGCTCCTCGAACGTGCCTCATATACTGTTTTGTGACGAGTCTTCCATATTCCTATCTTGAGCATGTGCTTAACAGAATCGAATCTGTATGGAGAATCAAGACCCGCTTGTTATTGGGGCTATCTTCCTTCATATACAGACGATATAGATCCCGGACGACTCGATGAAATTTGGGCTACCGATGATGGCACGAGGAAGAGACAAAGTGCTCTGGTTGGCAGAGATGTAGTCGGACACTTCTTCAGCGGCGAGAACTGCAAGTCCTGGATGTGTTCTAGCATATTTGGTTCCAAGCCGGCCTGTGTATCAACAAGGCCAGCCTAAGATACAGGAAGCCCCGCAACATCTAGGCACTGGGGGCTATAGTCTTTTCAGACGGGCCAGTTCGGCTACTTCGATAGACATAAAGCTAACTCTGCCGGGCGCGTGGACTATCACAAAAGTGTTGTTGTAGACGTCGGAACAGTTTGCTCGATACTCCTGTGGTAGCGAAAGTATTCCCGTCGAGCGAAAGCTGGACCTCAATTTGTTTCTCGGATCCGTCAAGAGAGAATAACCAGGCTTGTCGTTACACATGCTGTCGTGCAAGATTGGGAGGTTGTACGGTATATGTACTTGAAAAAGTATGTCTGCGATCTGCTGTGCTGTGCTCTCAACCACGCCACAGACCGTTTGTCGGAAACGGCCGATAGTAAGGCCGGCACCATGAACGTGTAATGTCCGACCATCTAGAGACCACCGTACGGTGGCAGGTGGCCCTTCACGCTTCGCTATAGCACGACCGTGCTGTAACCGTTCGATCAGGTAGCCGATGGGAGACACGCTGCCCCGCTGTAAGTAGAGTGGACGCATGTCAAAACAAAGTCTCTAGCGGAAATCAGAACTTGAGTCTCTTGCCGGGATCTTGGTCCCTGCAAGCAGATGTGGCTGGAGGGGTAACGCGTACTCTAGCAGTAGAAGACCCCCTATCCATATGAGTGCTGAGAGGTTGGTCGTATAGCTATGGGGCTTCCGAAACACAAGCGTGGATGGATCGATGCCTAGCATACCAGAGAGGTTTGCAATGGGTGTGCGCTCAAGGTTACCGTCCCTCGGTCTGTCGGTCCAGAAAGGGATAATCAACTCAAAGAGTGACTCTGGCATCCTAACTATCGTGGGCTCGGAACCGATCAGCTTGTGCTCGGTCATCGTGAACTTAGTTTCCAAAGCGAGTGACCAGACCCGATTCATTGCAGACTCTTGCGTACAGGTAAGACGTAGAGATGAAAGCTCTCCAAGTTGTTTATCAAGACGCCGTTCTAGAGCACGAACACGATACACGTTGCTGACGAAACGACACCATGAATGCTCGTAGCGACTCTCCGCTGCAGCTTGAGGGATTTTGGAGTCATAGGGCTGGTAAGCATGAGACCAGCTCTTCAGCCAACAACGCAGGGTGCGCGGTGTTGCCTTCAAAGTGCGCTCACAATGATCGAGTACATGTCGGGTGGCCACACATATGACAGCTAGTGTTCGTTCATTCGCTACCTCGCTGACACAGTTAAGACCGCACCAGCTGCCAATATGCAGTCTCTCAGCAAGACGAGTCATCTTTGGCAGTTTGGAGACGCTTATTATCACGCGGAGCGGCTTGTTAGCGGACCAATTCTTCCAGTTGCATCCACGTAGCCGATCGCTCCTAGTATTACACTCTGAATCCTCATCAAGGTCGGAAGCCCCTTCGTCATATTCTTCTGCAAGCCGGCGCTCTTCTTCAGCTTTCATGACGGCCAAGTCGTGAGCAAGCTGACCCTCAACGTCTTGCGCTGTTGCTGCTGTTGTGATGTTTTTGTCAACATCTGACTGCAGCTGAGAATCTGACACGGCTGCGGCATCCACTATCCAATAACCAGGATCTTTGCTACGCCAGTCAGTCCAGCGTTGTAGGAAACAAGGTTGAGAGGATAAGGCATAGGTCGAGCCACAACGAACACCATGTTGTTTGCCGATATGTTTCCGCAAGCAAGGATAGTATATTGTCTTATATGATGGACAGAGCGGATAGAAAAATCCTCGTAAGGGAACGACAAGACATTCTAGAGGCGGCACACCATCGGGACGAGGTCTAGGCTCATCTAGGGACTGAGGCATGGTATAAAATTCTAAGCGCTTGGCTACAGCGCGTCTGACTGAGACATGATAGCCTCCATGCCTAGCATAAAGGTGATAGTCGTTATCATTGAAGCAGACAGCGACTCGGCAAGTGGTGCAGACAGCGACCTGAAGCTATTGAAGGTGTCGGATAGAATCTAAAAGCTCGCCACTGCTTCTTATTGCCAGATCCGGAGTTTCAAAGCAAGCGAACGCATTAGAACAAGTCTGTAAGCAATCAACAGAAGAATCATGAAAGGGAAGCGGTGACGAGTTGCCTACGGCGGGATGGCTCTGCGACGGAAGCCGAAATGTAAGGTAATTCCTGCAGTAGTATTTAGGTGGAGTGTGGTTCCTGGTGGACCAATTCTGCTGAGCGACAATAGAGGAGATACGCTCCTATAGAAGGTTTGATGAGGAGAAATAAAGACAGATGAAAGTAACAGTATTCAACACTCACCTCTGGAAGTCGCGAACGCGTGTCAAAGTCAGAGACACGTCCGACCCGCGCAGCACTTTAGGTCGTGATATACACATTTGGTGATCATTTGTCGCAGGGCAACGCATTGCTTCGATGTTTCGATTATATGACTATAGAGTGAAGACCCGAAGCCGCGAACGGGTCGTAAGATGGAGAAAGAAAGGCTAGTCCTGATTAGGCAATTCTCTGTTACAAGCACAGAGGCCCGTGCGAGATGCCGGATTAGGACGTGTTTTCGGTGGAAGCAGGGATACCTCATGTATTAGGTCTGGTTTCTACAGTGCACGGACAGAAGTTTCGCAAACCACTCAACGCGCTCCACGTCGTCAAATCTCACCCTTCTTTTCTGCATTAACATAACAACATGGCGCCAACCATTGAACGTTCGCAACCAAGCGGATCTCGCGCACGAGGCCCTAATCTTACCCCATACGAGCGTGGTCGGATTGTACAAGCGTACGAGGACGGCCGTACGCTTGAGTCGATCGCCGATCAGTTTCACCGCGCTCCGTCTACCATCTCTCGTACAGTCCGCGGCGCCTCAACCCACAACGAAGGCACTGAATTACCTCGATCTG